ATGAAAGGTGCTTTACATCGAACACCTTACCAAATCATGACATGCACATCTCAACTGAAACATCACGCTTAACCATCATGGCTTGCATGTCTTGACATTTGGTTATTATGGTCTTTTATGTTGCCCTCCATCCATCGTGGCGGGCTCTTTATGATGCCTTCAGTGGCTTACTCATCTAGTCTTTGCTCATCGCATCCCCATCTCACGTCCTCAGCTCATCGTGGCTTGTGCATGTTTATCTTAGCTCATTGCTGCACATGCAGTGTGTTCTAAGCTCATCATTGCATGGAGCTCATCCCATCTCATAGTGGCGGTGTCAGGATCTGCTGTGATAACTGGCCTGAATTACTCATACCTTTCACCTGCTTAACTCTTTCCAGCTCCTAATTATCATTCATCTCATCCACCTGCCAGTTTCCCTGGGACTCAGGTAAAGCTATCATGGCCAGATCATTAGTTGTTCTTTTCTGTTAGTCTGTTCTGTTGAGTTTGTTCAGTTAACTCCACGGTTCTTGTTCTGGATCCTGGCAGCCAGAGGAAAAAGGGTTTTTGTGTCTGTCTTGTCTTCTGCTCGTCCACTGTTCCTCCCCTGCTGAACCCTCTGAGTTTTTGGCTCTTTACGTGGGGAGGATCAGTTTTTATCCCAGTAAGCCTGGCTCCAAGGTGGACACCAGTTTAAAGGTCGCACTCAAGTTCTGGTTCCACGTCCTGTCTCAGCTACCCTCTTCCACTGGGCCTGCCCGTCTGCACCTGATCCTGTCTGCTCCTGTCCCTGTCCACCTGGTCACACTGCTGGACTCTGTTTGGAACCTGAACCTGCCTGGGTGCTCTAGGATTCCTGGAAGCCTGGATCCTGCCTGTTCTGTATGTTCCTGCCTGTTTCTGCATCCCTGTCCAGGATCAGCTTCCTGCAAATCCTCTGAAGCTGCAGCACCAAGAACACTCTCAGTGACGCATGCCTTCAGTCCAGCGGCTGGATTGAACCCCTTTCCAGGGAGATGGACTGGACAGTTGAACTAGGTAAGTGACTCAATGAGATCAGCATCTTCTGTCAGATGATCGTGGTCACTTACCTGTGTTTCTCCCAACAGAGTGTATGCGATTGATCGCTGCCCCGCCCCCCTCCTGCAGCACCCGAGAGTCACAGATCCTAGCAACTCCACTTTAGTTTCAGTTTGTTTATGTTTTTATATTAATAAGCATTTTGGACTTTCTTACAGACTGTCTCACCTTGAATACTAGGTCCATCTGTCCCGTTTTATGACAGGCGGGCACAGAGTGCTCAGCTCATCACGTCAGTGCATTATGACAAGCCTATTGCACAGCCTATCACTGCAGTTATTACCACAGTCATCATGACATCGTCATTTCCAAGCATTAGTTGCTCTCCTTGCTAATTCACCTCAATTTTGCCATGCGCATCATCCCCAGGGTTGCTCTTTCATTGATCTAGCTAATTCCATTACCTTCCTCCCATTTCTTTCAAAATAGTTGGTTCGCAGATTCATGGCCTACTCCCCTCATCAATTCAAAATGTCTGCTCTATGAGGTTTACCCAAGAGCAACAACCCACACAAACTGGATTCCTAACATGGTAACCCTTGGTGGCAATGGCTCTCTTTTTTTGTAAGCCTTCACAGCAACAACCTTCTTTTGGTAAGCCTTTGTGGCACTGCCCTTTCAGTAAGCCTTCGTGGCACATCTCCTCTATTAATCGTTCTGCTATTTTACATTCTTAGCTTTCAACTGAGGTCTCTGCCTTCTGAGCATGCTGATGTACTGGCCTAAACATGAGCAATATTTTGGGGTTAAACATCTCTGTTTTTATACTCCATATGCATATTAAAGCAAAATTCAGCACTAAAGTCTCCTGGACATCTCTCTGGTAAGGTGTTCCGGGCACGTCCCACCTGAAGGAGATGCAGGAGACTATGTTTGGTATTATGTATGTATGTATGTATGTATGTATGTATGTATGTATGTATGGATGGATGGATGGATGGATGGATGGATGGATGGATGGATGGATGATGGATGGATGGATGGATGGAACTGCATTATGTGATAGTTATCTAAAATTGAACCTTTTTTGGGGGAGGACAACTCTGTTAAAGTAATTTTGAAGGTTATTAAAAATGTGTCAAGGAGGACAGAGTAGTGAGGAAATACTGTTTTTTCTTCACATTCAATGCCATATGCCAGCAGTCTTGCTGGCATATGGCATTGGCATATAGAGTCGATCATTGAGCTCCAGCCTTGGGTGCCCTTGTGCCATTGCAGTGTTTGATTCTGACAGTCCCCATGAAATCCACAGTATGTAAGCTGTAGGAAAAAACCCACAGAACCTCTAAACCAGCAGCTTACACCAGAGTGGCTCAGGGCTGCTGGTCTGCTGAGCAAAACTTTTCTTTTCTTCTTACATTACCTCTGTCTCTGGTGCAGAGAAATCCTCTACCATTCTCATTGCTCCGTCACAAACCTTTCGTCATTGTGATAGCTCTGCTCTATCACAGCTGAGACCACACCCAGCTCTCAAGCCCCCGCATATCTCTCATTATCTGGGTACCAGTTTCCAATTGGAGAATGAGGGAGGGAAATGTAAAAGGTGCAGCAAATTTAAGGAGAGCGAATGGTAAATCACGCACATTAATTCTGGTCATAATGGTGTGCAAAGGGGGTTTATTGTTTTAAAGATATGAAGTCAGGAACTAACTGCATTCTTAGTACGAACTGCTTCAATAGGTAGCCTACAGATACTTTCTTTCTAACTATCTGTTGTACTTAAAATTGAAATCTCTTTAATCTTTGTATGACTTTTGTTATGACTATTTTAAATCAAACTCAGCTTAACACCACCTTAGATATGCAGCGTCATGGCATTCTTGCACTGGTGTTATTTTCCACATTGACAACATTACCATGCTGTGTGTTTCTTTTCATCAATCTGACAATGTTATACACTTTAAGGAGTAAAGCGGTGTTTGTAGAGACCTCTCGATACATTCTTCTTTTTAACCTTCTGTTTGCAGACACAACTCAGCTGGCACAGAGTCAGTCGATGTTTTTGCTTTCCACTGCCAGAGTTACAATGTCTTATTCTGTGTGTGTCGGTTTAACCCTTCTCAACTTTCTCACTATTAGTGTTTCTATCATCACGCTGGTGATCATGTGTTTAGAGAGATACATTGCTGTGTGCTATCCTCTAAGACATAGTGCTATCATCACCACCAGGAACACAGGATGGGTTATTTGTGTTGTATGGTGTGTCAGTTTATTTCATGTCATTACACAACTAGGTTTAATATTAAGGTTTTCATTTCGAGACCTGCAGCTCACACAGATGATAGATTTCTG